CCCTTGAGTGGCACAGGAATCCCAGGTATACGATGGCCGCCGCCGGCAGCAGCACCATCAGGAACACGGCGGCGGGCAACAGCAGGTGCAGCAGGAGCCCCGCCAGGGCCTGGCCAGGCAGCAACAGGGTCCCGAAGCCTTGGACTGCCAGGCCTACCCACCCTGGGGACATCAGGGCTGAGGCCTGGCAGTCAGGAAGTCTTCCTGGCAGCATGGGTGCTGTGTCGGAAGCGCCCCCTCCCTCATCCTCCTCCGTCTCCTTCTCCTGTTCACTCATGTTCTCCGGGCAACAGGCCCGGTGGGTTCCCAGAGGTAGTCAGACGGCAGGACCTAGGTCTCCAGGTCAGACTCCCACCCAGACCCCAGCAACCATTGTGGACCCAGACGGAGGACAGCACCCTGGCCCCAGTAGGTCCAGCTCTGACCCTCGGTCTCCAGGGCCACACCGCTGCCTCAGTTTCCCCTGTTGCCAGGCTGGGCCTCTCTCTGCCAGGCGACTGCAGCTCCAGCCCTGGTCAGTCTCCCCATCCAGCTCCTGTGTGTTCTGGTCAGGGCTTGCACAGCTGTCCTGGCACGGGGGCCCTCCTCCCTCCTGGTCCCGCCCTCTGCCCCGCTTCCCGCTCCCCCACACAACGACTTCATTTCATAGGTCTTGACAGTTGCTGCCGTGTTGAGGTGGCCACTCACCACACTTCCCCGCCTTAGTCCCTGCTGGTGCTCTCATCCCCAAACCCGGCCTTTCTGAGCCTCAGTAAAACAGGGAAAACACTGGGTGCCTGGACTGTAGGGCTGTTGAGACGGCATGTGGGCAATGCATGTGAAGTGTTTACTGCAGGACTCAGCACACAGTAGGTGCTCAATAATAGCAGCTACGATGACAAGCATCCTTTGTGTTGGAGTCTCATCCATCCTGAAAACAGTGGGAGCACGCACTCTGTTATTTCAACCGGGGAGAAAGCATTCCCCCATCTTCCATAAACCCCAACTAATTTCCCCAAATATTACTGAAATGCTCTTAACTCCTATCAGATGTTAGGTTTTTCTTGCATAGCACTTGGCATCTTATTTATTTTTGTTAAAGATTTTATTTATTTGACAGAGAGAGAAGCACTTGGCACTTTAAACACCACTTACATAACTAGCTGACACTTGGAGTAGGTTGCCTGTGAGCTGAATGAACAAGCTGTGCGGCATCAGATACGAACGTCTCCCTTTCACACCTTCTCCCACCATTGGCTTTATCACGTCCACCTTTTCTTCTAACATTTTCCAGCGCATAAATTCCCTTCAGACACATCCGAATGGGGGATGGCAGCGATCGTGCACAGCGGGTTTAAGGAATGCAAGCCTAAGTCAGGTCCCTGTGAGGACGTGAGCTGAGGCTCCCTGCAGCACATGCCAAGCCCTGTTGCCCGACACACATACACGATTTAATTTTCACCGGCACACACGTATCCAGGTCTCATAGTAGCTGCTGATTTATTCAGATAATGAACTTAGGGCAGAAAATGATATGGACCTATCATTTGCACCTGGACAGGTGGCCAGGTGCAAATGATAATGTTCAGATGCACAGTTCAGGTGGAGAGGGTGCCGGTCTAATCTCCTAAGCTCCAATCTCTGCTCAGGTCCCTCTTGCATTCATTTGCTCATGCAGTCAACACTCGCTGAGCTCCCTCAGTGTGCCAGGACTGCTCCGGGCTCTGTGGACTCAATGGTAAAGGGGGCCAGTGTGGGCCTCTGCTCTGTGTGGGTGCCCTGACGGGCCTGCATGGTTCCATAGCTGAGTGAGCTGCCACGCTCCAGGCTGTGGCAGAAGGGGGAGGACGGCCACACAGCTGGCTCTCACGGACTTCTGCCTCCAGGAAGGCGGTTTCTAGGCTTCCCTGGCTCTCAGGAGCTAGGAGAGTTTCCCTTGGGCCTCCCAGGGCGCAGTGAAGCATGGAAGTCGCAGCAACAGCCCCTCTGTCCCCCCACCCCCACCCCTGCCGTTGTCAAGGGAGTCAGGGAACGGACAGCTTTGCTCTCTTGCTTTTGCTGGCTACTTAGGTCGTAAATTGTGCTCATCCACCCAGATCATGTTGCTTCCTTACCCGCTGAATCTGTCAGCCTGTGTGGTGTGTCCTCATGGAGCTTTCATTCTAGAAGAGGAAGGCAAGCATTTAAAAATAGAGTAGATACTTGGGACGCCTGGGTGGCTCAGTCGGTTTGGCGTCTGCCTTTGGATCAGGTGATCCCAGGATTCTGGAATCGAGTCCTGTGTTGGGCTCCCTGCTCAGCAGGGGGGTGGGGTGGGGGGTGGGGAGCAGGGAGCCTCCCCCCTGCTTCTCCCCCTGCCTGCCGCTCTCCCTGCTTGTGCTCC